CCGGCTTATCACTATGCATTTACTAAAGGTCCAAACTTTAGGGACAATATAAGTGTTGAAGAAGAAGCACCTGATCATATGGTACCTGAGACCCATTTGTAGTTTCATTGTATTTATCAAAGGATATTTGATTGTGCTTTGATCCTGTATACGCGCCAGATCTGAACAACAATCTGGTGTATGATTTGCAATGAAGAGAAACAAACCCCTCCTTTAAGTGACTAACAATCCGAAAACTTGTTTTTGATAATACCCCATATGAGATTCTCAGTGATTCAAGATTATCCTCTTTGTTCTGTACAAAGTTTCTAGTGTTTCCGTGACAAGAATCGGATCAAACCCAGAAAACAAACCAAGAAAGAGGGAATCTTTGCATTGACTCTCAAACCCTTGTTAGAACTCTCACTTGTTTCTTGTAGTAAACGTTGACCTGGTCATGCCCTAGCGTTTGAATTCAACAACTTTTGACTTGCAGCAGACAGACAGAACCTTCTGAAGGGTGTCTGGTGGGAGCTCTTGAAGGAGTTCTGAAACAGCAAGCTCATGCTTCCTCGTTAACTCATTCAGCTCCTCCTCGTGCTTCACTAATAATTTCTCGAGTTTGCTCCCTAAATTCTTGATCTCCATCTCCATCCCAGTTCGCATTTCGCTGCCCTCATCTCCATCACTCTTCTTTTCCTTGCAATCATCTGAAGTATGTCCATTCTGAACATGTTTGTTTAAGCTGTCTTCGTGCCTAATGGTGCCAGCATCCGATGATAACTCCGAGGCATGATGCTTTCTTAGAGAGTTTTCGTTTTCGGCTTTGCCCAAAGAGCAGTAGGTCCTACCAGACGGAAGTGTTTCCACTGAAAATGCATAAGGTGAATTAGTCTCCGCGCTCAAGGTAGATTTATCACTCGGGGCAGGAGAATTATCGTCTTCCCCTGTTTCACGATCATATGGATTTGCAGCAGTTCCATCGGGATTTTCTTCGTTGGATCCTATCGATGCCCAGTCTGGAATGTGGGATCTTATCTCGGACTCGATCATCTCAGCGATAGTTGAAACATCTTGGTCAGTCAGGTCAAGCTCCTCCACCATCTCAGAAGCAACAGAGGTCGGTGTATCTGCCTCGGTATTGAATGGGAAATGAATGTTGTGAAGATGACCTGAGACAAGCAAAACTATTCTGAATGTGCTTTCAAGAGATGTCAATAGAGATATACACATATAGGAAGGTAAGTAATGGAACCTGTGGAATCGGGTATTCGCAGTTTCAGAAATATAGTGTTCATATCTGTTCTTTGCCCTTGTACTGACAAATCTATACCAGACTCAGCTGCAGCAGCATTTTCCGATGCATTCAATACATTGCCGGTATCTGCAATATCTCGAGCCAAAAGTTACAGTCAAACAGTTACGGACTGTAAGCCATGCAAGAGGGTAAAAACTTTTTACCTGAATGACGGGTATTGGAAGGCAGAGGATGATGACTTATGACTTCCAACTCATCGGAACGCAGAAACGGGTCCTCCAGAAGTTGCTTGGCAGTTAATCGGTCAGACACTTTGGCAATACACTTTTCTATAAATATTCTGACTTCAGGATTCTCGACCTTTGCAAGTGAAGCTGGTTTTATTCCCTAACATTATTGAAAATGAAAACGATCATGAGAAGTCGGCAGTGAGACTCGGAAGGCTTCTAATGAAAAAAACACGAACTTTACTTACCGAAGTTACTTTTCTGTATATTTGAGCAGCATTGGCACACTCGGCATATGGATATTCAAATGTCACCAACTCGAGCAAGCACATCCCAAAAGCGTAAATGTCAACAAGCTCATTGTATTCCTCTTCGTAAAGCTCGGGTGCCATAAATTCCGGAGTACCTAACAAAATCGATGATCATAACTCAAGAAGTTCCAATACCACGAAGCATTAGAAAGACGACAAGAAAAGGGAAACCGCTCACCGATAACACTACGGGCTAAATGAGTTTGGTGCAAAATGGCAGCTAAACCAAGATCTGCAATTTTGACTTCGCCCTGGTTGCCATTGATGAAGATATTATCACACTTCAGATCTCGGTGGATCACAGGAGGATCATGACCGTGAAGATAAGTAAGACCCTCTAGAATCTGTCGAGACCATTTCTTCAATGCCCTCAAATCAACATGCTTATGCTTCTTCCTATACCTGCCCACGATCGGAAAATCATGCCTTCAGATAAAGACAAAAGTCAGGCATCACAGATAGAGATGATGGAAAATCACCGGATATAGAAACTCACTGTCGTAAAGTTCCCGAGGTGAAAATTTCAGTGATGAAATTGATGGTCTCGTCCTTTGAATCAACCCATGAATGGTAAAACTTTATTATATTCTTGTGCTTCAGAGTCTTGAGAAGATGAACTTCTGAATATAGATGTTCCATATCCACCGAATTACGCAACAGATCAGCTACCTTGATCTGATTCCATGCCACCTCTATTCCTTCCAGTTCATCAAACGCTCTGTATCTGAATTTGGCAAGCTCTAATCAAGGACATGAAACATTTTACTCATTTCATGGACAGAACAGAACAAAACCCTAATTGTACAAGGAAAGTGCTAAAACTCTGAAATATCAACCGGGTCTAGCTGGTAAACAAGCCAGGCCGATGGATCAAAGCATGAAAAGGATACACTTTCTTGAAAGCTCCTCTTCCTAAAACCTCCTTATACTGCAAAATTAATGGAAACACGTTGACAATCGACAGCAGCGACTAATAAGGAAACCCATTTGGGGAAAATCACACGAACTATCAAAAGGTGGGCAAAATCAACGCTTTGAGATCAAATGAGGTGAAATTCGACACAAACCCGACCGTAACGACCACTCGGGTCAATCTCGACGAACCCATCTGGATCATCCTGTTCTTGCTCGACCGACAAATCCGGTGGCGGTCCCGTCATGTTCTTGCGAGAACCCAAGCACCCTTATCCAGAATTCGGCTCTACCAAATCTCAGAGGATCAGAAATTGCTAAAACGAGAAAACTGAAGGATCCCCAGGAAATTGGGAGAAAAACGGATTCCAATTCCGAAACGAGAGGGATTCAGATGCGGGACTTTTGATCGAATCAGGTGTTATGCAGAACTCGAAACGTGACTCCTGAGTCCTGACTGACTTTGTGTGAAGGATCTCTCTTTTGTTTTCACATGGACTTTAGATTTGTTTGAAGCTTTGATATATTTCTCTTTTTATTCTTCGTATTTGTCTTTCCCCGTGGTACCAACATGTTGCTTCTCAACTCAATTTATTTTAGGATTGAGCTACTAATTTCCAATTTTCGAACTCAATCTAAAAAAAATTATATTGATATTAATTTTACCAGGTTTTTTGGGCAAATTTGTTTTCTATATGTTTGATTTGAATGAATTTTACATTTAGTATTTCTGTTTTTGTTTTAGAAAACAAAAATATTCCCCCAAGATTTCCATCAAAATAAAACAATATCTTTGATTTGTCATTATATATAAATAGTTGGATAAAGAGAAGTTCTCTATTTAAGAAAGATTAAAACCCCTAATACATGCCCGTGGTCCATCGCAATTGATTTATAACCACACTACAAAAGGAATATAGATGGAGAGATTGAGGAATTGAGAGAAGGGGTCCAAAGGTGGCGTATGATATAACAATGGATTGGTAAGGAGCACAAAACTTTTTGTGAGGCAAACAAACATCGTCTACAGCATTTTATTTTCGAAGATCGATCAGACAAGAAATGGAAAAATATGGAAATCTACCTCGAAAATCCTTCCAAAAAAGGACGAGGGATGGCAGGGAAATGCTAAGATTAGTGCTTCTTGAGTGCATTCATCTTGTCCCTGAGGTAGTAAAGTTTGGCTCTTCTAACTTTCTTCTTGTCCAGCACCTTAATCTCCTTCAGGTTCGGGGAATACCTGTCACCAGACACCGGCTTATTAGCCATATCGCAACAGCAGGACTCGGGTCTGAGCCACAAACAAGAAGGAAGTACGGGAAAGATCTTATTAAACTCTTAATGCTGTTTATGATGATCTCCAAACATGAAAGAAAATTGATCTCCATAGCCAGAAGAAGCCATGCTAAGAGGGCAAAGGGTGCTTAGACAAAGTTTTGATACAGTAAATTTCTAGTAGCTCCATGGGAATCTTCCTTGACAATAGTCAAAAAAAGGGTAAAAAGAGATTCTGGATTTTACAAATGAGATTTTCACCAATGGTTAGAAGTGGTTTCGAGTGTGATCCCATATGGGATTATGAGGGCAGGATGAGAGTTGAGATTAACACAATTCTCTTATCACATCAGCCTGCTATCTTCGATTTGGTGAATCATTATCAATCTATAATGCAGCAGAAATAGTACGAAGCCCAGGCAAGAAATGAAAGTTAGAGAGAGAGAGAGAGAGGGGCTGAAGAACTTACAAGGGAAACATCGATTCAACTCCAACTCCAGCCACAAGCCTCCTAATCCTAAATGTAGAATTGAGACCAGCATTACGTCTTGCTATGACAATGCCTTTCACAATTGAAGCACGCCTCTTGTTCTCAGGCACTTCCTGCTCAAACAAGGGAAAGTCCGCAATAGAGTAAACAAACGTCAATGAAATGTTTCACCCATTTGGGCAATGGAAACGAAATATAAGATATTTTTGCATGCAATTTCTTTACAAGTGGAATGAATCTGAGCCAAGGTCAATAATATTACCACTTTGAGCTGAACAATGTAACCGGGCTTTATATCAGGTATCTCTCTTTGAGCTCTCACTTCCTCAACTGCCTCCTTATCTAGAATCTGCAGAAGGTACAGATAGAAGCATCAATTTGTAGGACATTTACACAAGTAACTCTGTGATGATTGAGAACAGGTGCTATACCTGCATTATATGCTTTGCAGTCTTATCAAGCCTTTTGAATTTGATCCTTGGAGGTGCATCAGAAGCCGAATCAAACGGTTGGACAGAATCTCCAGTGGTGGCAAAGCCCCTTGATGAACTTGTAGCTGTAAATATCCGTCCATGCTGTCTCGACCAATCATATCAAGCACACAGAAGTCATGTTTCGAACACTAACACAATCAAAGAACTAGAGAGTAAAACACTGTCATGGGACCTACAATTAGGAAGAGGGAAAATGCGAAAGCAGTTAATGGATCACAACAAGCTGTCTGTATTCATAACTTGATGAAATGAAAAAAAAAAAATTGGAAAAGGTTCCTCTATTTCTGTGTTGTTAATTGGCTATGATCGGAGGACAACAGCAAGGAACTTCGAAAAAATAACAAGCAGAAACGCCCAACATAAGAAAGTCATTTCTTGTTCTTTTGTATACACTACTGTCTCTAATGATGATTCAGGTCATGAGCTTCATCAACCGAAGGGTCCATACCATCACTTTGAAGACGGATCCAGATGCATTTCCTATTTCAGAACCAAGGCTCGATGTTTCTTACCCTTTTACTAATTTCCAACCATACCAACCAAAGAACAAAGCAAAAACTCCATTTTCTTCTATTCAATTCAACAGAAAAATTTCTCCTTTTCCTTCTGCCCAACGAAAGGAAGCGATATGAACAAATGAATCCCAGAAAAGCAAACAAAAGGCAGTAACTTACTGATACCATTGAAGACGAAGATACGATCCTCCGGACAGAGTTAAGCAGA